AGAGAGAGAGAGAGAGAGAGAGAGAGAGAGAGAGAGAGAGCGATCAGAGACTGTGACTGTGAGTATGTGAGTGTGTCTGTGTGCGTGCGCGCGTGTGTAGTATTTTCAGTATTTTCTGTGATATTTTTAGTTTAATCTAGTTTGAAGAGGTGAGTATCCGTGTTCCAGTTTCTTTTGGGAAAGATCAAGGTAATTGGCCGTTTTTTCGGAGGCGATCATTCATGTTGAAGAAGAAGAACGACAGAAAGTGGATAAACATTATTTCGAACTCAGTTTTATACGAAGACAGCAGAAGTCTTTTGTAGCCTACCATTAGTGCTGTGACCTCTGACCTCGTTTCCTGCATGCTCTCCACTGATGATGATGAATAATAGCAATAGCAGGCTGAAAGAAGGCGCTAACTGAGCGCGTTGTGAGTGACAACGGTCAGCAGTCAGTGAAGCTCATGAGTACGTTTTGCTAGTTTCGCTTGCTTTGAGACAAAGTTTTTTAAGGACAAACTATTGTAAGGTTTGTGTTTCTTTTCATCGTTGTTCCAGGTTATTGATCTAATTGATATGAATAAGAAGCAAAATGCCCGCGAAGTATTTTCAATATTCTCGTTGTTGTAGTGTAGGCCAAACACGTGAGTCGTGAAGGTTTGTGAAATTTTACATGACGAGACACACGATACGGGGCTGTCTTTTATATTAATAAATATGTGGTGTCATCAATTTCTGGGCTGCAGCCCGAGTTATCCACTTCAAGTTAAAGTCTACTGTGGTCAGGACGGAAGGGCCAGGTCGAATGGCGCGCTTTATGATGACAGGAAAATGTCACAGACACTGAGCCAGTATCATTGTTATTTACACACTTGTTATTGTATTGTTGTTAGTTTTAGAGTTAAGACTTAAGAGCTGTCTGCTAGATCTAGAATCTAGATTAGATCTAGATCTAGATTCTAGAATCTAGCTAGATCTAGAATCTAGCTAGATCTAGAGTTAGACGTCTACAGTAGCGGCTCGTGGTTTATAGAACTGACCGGCCGTCATTCACGTCGACTATTCTTTTCCTTCACAACACACACACACACACACACACACACACACACACACACACACACACACACACACACACATTTTCTCTCTCTCTCTCTCCTTATTTTATACCCATACTTTCGCCATCCCCACCCCCTCCCCCACTTACACACCACACACACACACACACACATCACACACACCAAGTACATTGTAATATATTATACACTGTGAAAGAGCTAAAATATGCGGTAGCGTCAAGAAACAATATTATGAATAACGTATGAAGTTACTGAGATTAATTTAATAGAAACTGACTTGATCGACACGGAAAAAACCCACTACAGGGCCAGAAAACGAACTGAAATTGAGAGGCAATAAACTGCTGGTCCTGGCCTTCGCCTTCAGTACTTTACTCGTACTTTCTACACCCCCACACAAAATATCGACGTGCACTGGACCCGTTAAATATATGTAATAAGAACTGTCCTGTATGATGACAAAAAGTTAATTGATACTGTACCAGTAACGCTGTCCCAAGCAGATCAAGTCTACAGTCAGATAGTATACGTATACAAAGCTGGACAAAGTAAGCCCACAACAGTTTCCGATCATTATATCATCAAATGTTTTTCTTCAACACACTTCTCAGAACAGAACACTGTGTTGTAACAAAGTGGGGAAGTGTGTCAAATGCTAATTAAAGAACTTGGTGTCTAGCTGGGGTGACGGTGGAAAAGGGGAGGGAAGGGAGGGGGTAGGCCTGGCCCAGACTCTGACAGCCGAGTGCCTATCGCTCCTCGTTAAAATTCTCCTTATACTATATATATATCTTCACTAGACAATTCCTCCTTCCGCCGGCCAGACTCCTATGGGCCAGGTAAGTTATTACAGGGGAGAAAACGATGAGTAAATGTCAAACAGGAACTATAGGTGGTTAGAAAGTCAATATAAACAAAAAAGATTAGTGCCATGCTAACAATAAATGTTCTGATAGTAATTAGAGAAAGGTTGAATGATAAATACATGTTTTGCTGATAATAGATCTAGATCTATGTCTTAATATAGTTTTGAATTGGGAAGAAAAGCAAGTCATTCTGGTTCATTCATAACAAAACTCAACGGTTTGAATAAAAAATAATTTTTAAACAAATGGCTTTTCTCTGGCGTTGCTCCGGTCAATAGATTGATGGCTATTCTCTGGCGTCACATATAGTTGCACATATGTCGCTTCTCCTTGCAGCTTTCCCTCTCCCCTATCGGCACTTTATAATGGCCTTAGCCTACACAAACGCTCATCAAGGTCGGCATTTCTTCAGAATGCGATTCACAAGAGGTGGACACTCAACCACTACTCAATGAAAGCTCCAGTGACGGAAGGAGGAATTTCTCAGTTCTGTAGGGAGTGTATACAGACCCGGTAACCTGAACAAAGTCACAAAGTATACAGATCCGGTAGGGGAACTTTTTTGTGATTTCGGAAAGTTTCAGCGCCCTCTTGGCTCAGGGTATAGTCTTCTAGATCTATGGCCTAGGTCTAGATCTAGACAGACAGACATAAATCATTGATCTAGTTTCGAGGCTGGCCTAGATCTAGATCTAAATGAGAAGATTGCGGATGTCTTTTCGATGAACGATCGTTTTTCCTCTGTTTCGGAGTTGGAGGAATCACAATTTGAAGAAAAGAACAATGCATAATTTCAATCGAGCAGTGACCCTCTCTATTTCTCTGCCTCTCTCTCTCTCTCCTCTGTGTATCGACCGCCTTCTCTTTTTCTTTGTTTGTCTCTATGTCTTTCTCTCTCCCCACCTATTTCCCACTCTTTTCTCTCGTACCCTCCTGCCAACTGTGGCATGTCATTATATTTTGCTAGCACTTCTCTCTCTCTCTCTCTCTCTCTCTCTCTCTCTCTCTCTCTCTCTCTCTCTCTCTCTCTCTCTCTCTCACTCACACTCACACTCACACACACACACACACACACACACACACACACACAAACACACTACTGGGTCTGGGCGCTGAAACTTTCCGAAATCACAAAAAAGTTCCCCTACCGGGTCTGTATACCTGTCCCCGTAGGATTATACGATTGCTGTGGCAGCGTTTTTTCTCGTAATTCTGCAACTTTTGCATAATTTTGGATTCCCCGCGTTTTTTCACGTTTTTTCCCTTTTTTTCCACAAACCAATTAATTAACGCCTCGCCATGTGACAAAAGGGAAGTAATCACCGTAATAAGTCTCATTTAAGTGACAAGTTGGTTGTTTCCTTTGTCAGAAGATCTTGGTTATGGGTTGGGATTTTGTTCCTTGAGCATCATGTTCAATTTTTCAATCCATCAAAAGTTGTTGTTCTTAAATGTCTGCTTATGTTTCATGTTTGACAGGTGTCCCTGGTTTTAGTAATGTGCCAGCATCAGAGGTCGAGATGTCTTTTTTTGTTTTGTTTACCTTTTTCGTTCCTCTATAGAGACCTAGATCTAGATCTACAGCTGAAAGTTATAGAGATTATATTTTTTTAGTTATTTTTTTTTCTGACTGATGTGTATTGTTTTCTTTTCAAATACACAACAAGTTACTGATACTGATAGGTTCTGTTTTCATTTTTTCTGTACATAAAACATGAAAATCATGAAAATTCTTGTAAAACATGTCGCGAATGGTGTTACGGTAACTTGCATAATTTTTGCATAATTTTGCTTTTTTTTTGCATAATTTGGCCATCTAAATTTGCATAATTCTATGGGGACAGGTATACTTCGTAACTTTGTTCCCGGTTACCGGGTCTGTATACACTTCGTTCTGTGTAAGCAGAAACGCCAACAACCCTGTCACAACCAAAGTACGAGAAGGCGCATCTGACACTGAACTTCACTCTCCACCTTTCCGTATCCTAGGCTAGTCACTTGATGTCATTCCACGTCTTATTTCCAACAATAGTGGCCATAAATGTGCCGGCAGGGGAGATGAAATCCTGTGAAGTGACATGATGCAACTTTCAAATAAAATGGAAGTGCACTGCAGGCTTACTCTTAGTGCTTTTGGTTTCGTCAGTTTGCTTACATTACAACTAATATTAATAATCGCTGTACCTAGGCCTGTTTGTCATCATTCATTAATGTGAATAAAGTTTAAGGCCAATAGTTCATTTATTATTTTATCGAAGTGACTATTCCCAGTGACACTGGGGATAGGTACAGAAACTATTCCCTGTGACGACGGAACTCTTTTGCATTAAAAAAAAGGCCGGCACTATTTCTCCGAACGTTCAGGAAAATAAAGCCGGGCACTATTTCTCCGAACGTTCAGGAAAATAAAGCCGGGCACTATTTCTCCGAACATTTGGGAAAATAAAGCCGGGCACTATTTCTCCGAACATTTGGGAAAATAAAGCTGGGCACTATTTCTCCGAACATTTGGGAAAATAAAGCTGGGCACTATTTCTCCGAACATTTGGGAAAATAAAGCTGGGCACTATTTCTCCGAACATTTGGGAAAATAAAGCTGGGCACTATTTCTCCTAACATTTGGGGAAATTAAGCTGGGCACTATTTCTCCGAACGTTCGGAGAAATAGTCACTTAGTAAAAAAAAAATCTGAAGTCTTTGCACTGCACTGTAGACTCTCCTCTCACTTCAGTTCTGTACATACATGTACTTTTGTTCTCTTCTCTAGGGCCATTGAGTTACCCCCTTTTAGTGCCTATATCTACATCTATGCTGAGGGCTTGGACTTGACTGTAGAATAGATCTAGAATTAGATCTAGATCTAGAAGAAAGAAGAATCGGGAAGGATTTTTTCCAGTCCTGTACCATGGTCTCCAAAATCCGTATGGAGATGTAGATCTAGATCTACACGTACATGAATTATGACTGAATAACAAGCAAGCATAGACTGATAATTCCTTTTTCTTTTAAGAAAATCTTCCACTCACACTAGAATCAACTTTAATTTAGTTAGATCTAGATCTAGTATCTAGCTGCTCTAGAATCTAGATGTAGTCTAGATCTAGTATTTAGTAACCCATCACCATCATGCCCATGTAGATCAATGTGGAATCAATAGATCTAATGGGCCTGTCTGTTCTCAGTGTCACTGGGAATAGTTTATGGGCCTATTCCCAGTGACACTGGGAACAATTCTGCCCTAGGCCGAGGCTCTAGGCCCAATTGCCAGTGGTTTCTGGGCCTGTCACTGGGAATAGTTTCTGGGTCTATTCCCAGTGACACTGGGAATAGTTTCTAGGCCTATCCCCAGTGTCACTGGGAATAGTGCTTTGCTTATTTTATTTATGCAGTGCAGGCTTTTAACTATTTGCACTTCACTTCTGGTTTTGTCAGTTTTGCTTACTAGACTAATAACTTGGCCGGGAGGACTTCAGTAACGAACGGTTACTATCATGAGCCAGAGTAGAACAGAGGGTTTGGGTTAGGGTTTAGGTTTGGAGTAGGGGTAGGGATAGGGTAGGTCTCTTCTTTATTGTGTTTTTTTGGGTGGTCGCTCGTTACGGAAGTCCGTCCACTAGGCCTAATAATAGTTGCTGTATATGTCATCATTCATTAATTATGTGCATGAGTATGAATAAAGTTTAAAGGACAATTGATAATTTATTATAGTGCCTGTCTTGTTGTGTGTGATGCTATAAAAATGCATGATGTTGTCTTTTTGACTTAACGAAAGAAGCTGAATTATAGTTTTAGGGGGGCTTTCGTGGTCGAGAGGTGGTGTTTGCCTCTACTTCAATAGAGGTCCCATATAGGAATCCGGATAGTGATGGAAAACACTTTCTGGTGACTGTTTAGTTTAGAGTGTAACCCACTTTGGTTAGTATTAATATTTAATTTTGTTTTTATAGGCCTTGCAGGCCTTGCAATTTGTTGTTATATTTTGTTATTTGAAATTTGTTTCTTTTGTTGTTGCACTTTTCTTCAATTCATTTTTTTATTGCTGTTAGATGTGTATAAATATAGAGTATAACATGGATAGCTCGAATTTGTCGGGACTGGCCTTGGTAGTTCGAGGGATCTGTAGTTCGGTAGAATATCTTACAAAGATAAAGAAGAAAAAACTGGACCGCAGGCACAGCTCGATGGATGCATGCGTGATTTCGAGTCTTCTGTGTTCGGCCTGTCTGTGTTATACTGTATGATCTCAATAAAGGCTAAATTGAGACAGTGAGAGTCTGAATGTCTGTTTGTGTGGATGGTTGGCGGGTGCTCTGGTGTGGTTTGCTTCTTCTTTCCTATCAAACATCCATCATCCTTATCTCCCTTCTTTTTTAAAATGTTTGTTACTCTCTTGTTACTCCTCTAATCTTTTGGCGCTCATATGACCTTTTGTACAGTTGCGAGCGCTGTAAAACCTCTACTAAAACAAAACATCTATGGTTTTTATATTTATATTCCCTCCTTCTATTTTGTGTTCGTTATTACTCTCTTGTAACACCTCTAATCCTTTGCACTTATTTGACCTTATTGTGTTGCGCAAGTGCTGTAAAACAGTTACTAAAACTAAACCGTCGGTTTGTTTCTCAGGGCTGTTACCGTCGCTGTGCCGCCAAGTCATGAAGTATGTTCTGGTCACCGGCGGGGTCATCAGTGGGGTCGGGAAAGGAATCATCGCCAGCAGCATCGGGACCATCCTCAAGTCCCACGGCGTACGAGTCACCAGCATAAAGATCGATCCTTACATCAATATTGATGCGGGCACCTTCTCCCCATATGAACACGGTAATGCAGTGGGAAAAATTTCTCATGATTTCCTTAGAGAGGCCTAAGTTTTTTTTCATAATTTTACATTTTCATCATAAAAAAAGTGTTCAAGCTTCTGGCATATTATCTACCAAAATGTTCAGAAAGTTGTGAAAATTTGATATGTGTATGTGTGAGGACACAGGTGTAGTCTAAGCAAACAAATATGGCAAAAGAGGAAATTGATAAAAATATGTAAGAAATAACAGGCTTTTTTCACTTCTTCAACCGTATTATATTAGCAAATTGGTCACGGATGTCTCCAAAGTCAATCTTTTCGTGCAGTATATAGTCATTTGTTAATAGGCACCTTCATTTTCCCGATATCTCCTTCAATACTAGATTATGGTGTCATTTCTGTGGAGCAAAATCAGTATTCGATACTTTCCAAATGTTTCACCATCTGTCACTTTGACTTTTCCTGGTACGTACTTCTCTCCTACTCTCTTCCTCTTTGCCCAGTAATGATTTTGAACTTTCAGTAGATTAGGTATGTGATATAATAAAGAGAACTAGAAGGTCAGGGTGTTCCCTCTCTTTACTTTTCCTTTGGCTTGTCCTCTATGCGTATCTGTATAGAACATAAGTTATTTGTTGTGTTACTTTTTATATAGATACCTTTATATAACGCCAGTGATTATGATGCATGGATCTATTTTTTATGGTAATTTGTTTTTTCTGTGATTGTGAGTTCTTTAAATTCAGTTTTTTTTTTTTTTTCTTCTTGGTAAGTGTTTTACGGTGCTCACAACTGCATATGGTCATATGAGCGCGCGGGACACACCTAATATTTTCAGTGGGTAGAAAATTTTGAATTTTGCACGGGTGGCGGCCGAAGCCTACTCTTATCGATTTTAGACCACCAAGGGATCTTTAACGTGCGCAACTTGCACATGGACCCTCCGAGATTTTTCGCCCTTGTCCGAGAAGGCTAGGTGTAGATCTTTCCTTCCAGAAGATGAGGGGTGTGGCAGAAAGACAGCAGTAAGGAGGAGCCAAGGAGTAGCAGTAGAAAGGCTGCAGAAAGAGTCAGGAGCCCAGAGGAGAGGGCAAAGGAGGTGAGGGGGTGGGGGCAGAAAGTGGAAATGAAAGCAGACAACAGAACATTGCTAGAGAGCAGGAAAGGAGACAAATTTAGAGAAGAAAATTTTTTGGTTGCTACCCGGATTCGAACCCGGACCCTTTGAATGAGAGGCCAACACCTTAACCTCTAGGCCACGAGAGCCCCCAAATTCAGTTTGAATATTTGTCTGTAGATATTGTCGAGTAAGATAGAAATTAACATGCTTTTCTTTTTTTCTTGTAAAATATGCTGTAAAATTTTACTAATCTTTACAAAAGTAGAATGGGTGATTGGTGAGTGGTTCAGTAGTGGGGTTAGCTGTAACTTTTTCCTTGTTTTCCTTTCTGTTTGCCAGGATACATGACTATTCTGTTATAAACTATGATAAACTGACAAAACGCCCTTTTTCATTTTGGCGCCAAAATGTTTTATTTGCTAAATCGAAAGCCTGATCAGTGACCATAATTGTGTGAAAAAATCAATTGATATTTGATTAGTTTTTGAATAAATTAGAATTCAAATTTCAGAATGGCTCTATTTTTAAATGATTACACAGACACAAAGCCTCTTTTTCTGGAAACTGCTCTGAAGAAGAAAAGGTGTTTTGTCAGCTTGCAATAATACTGTGTTGACTCACCGTCTGACAACTCATCTTGTAGGTGAAGTCTTTGTACTGGATGACGGCGGAGAGGTAGACCTTGACCTTGGTAACTACGAGCGGTTCCTAGATGTTACCCTGCACCGAGACAACAACATCACCACGGGCAAAATCTACCAACAGGTCATCGACAAGGAGCGCAAGGGGGACTATTTGGGCAAGACCGTTCAAGGTTGGTGCTTAAATATTCTGCTCTCTTTAGACATGTTCTTGCAAGACAGGTTGGGACTGATTCTTAAATTATCGGTCCTCATTACGGTGTGGGCAACACAGTTCAAGATTTGTTAAGCTATAATCTGCTCCCTGTACTTTTTTTCAGTGTTGTTGTAGTCTTTATTATTATTAGTCTGGAATGTTATAACTCCAAATGAAATGTGGCCTTTCGTGCTGACTTTCTGAGGATGTTTGGAGGGCGCCACTAGTAGGTTGTACTTCTTTCCTGTCAATCATCTCTTGTCCTTATCTCTCCTTCCCTTTTTCTTTGTTGTATGTCACTCTTTAGTAACACCTCTAACCTTTGGCACTTGTATGATTTATTTGTTTTGCAAGTGCTAAAAAACTTTAACTAATATTTAACAAAGTGTAATTGTGCATTATCACGAAGTATTCTTATTTCATCATTTTTGTATCGTTTGTTTTTTCTCTCTACCGACAGTTGTGCCTCATATCACCAATGCTATACAGGATTGGGTGACAAAGGTCGCAGAGACGCCGGTCGAGGGCAATGAAAGAGCCGACGTGTGCATTATTGAGGTAAAGGATGGGGGAAAAAAGTCACAGGGTTTGGTATGTTGGTATGTTGCCGCGGGCAACACTATGGCCCAAGTCATTTCTGTCGTTTTGAGGGAAGAACAGGGTTTATATAAGTCAGCCTTATGATTTTTAGTACCTAAAACAACTCTCCTACATTGAAGATACAAACAGATGAAAGGCATTTTTACTATGCTAATAAATAAAAACTTGAACATAAAAAATGACTTATGCAGTTGCGTTATGACCTTGACAATGTGGTTTATTTTTCTCTTTAAGTGGTTGCTTTTGATTCAGCGCACTCCTTTCCGGTGTTCACCGTTGTCCTAGTTTGCTTCCTGTCGACCATCATTTGCTAATTTCACCACTGAAACCAGGCGACCTCACTTCCTTTAGTGGCAAATATCTTGGGTTCTACTCAAGATAAATGGATATTTATTTCATTGGAAGCAAGGCAAATAAATCAGCTTTCAGGTGACACCAATAACTCCCCGTGCCCAAAAATTGACGAGCGCCTGATTCCACCGTGCCGAGACACATTTGTTTTGGGTGTTTTATAGGAAAAGGTAAAGCATTAATTGTTTTCTTGTTTTGTTTTTGTGTTCCCCAGCTGGGCGGCACCGTGGGTGACATTGAGGGCATGCCCTTCATCGAGGCTTTCCGACAGTTCCAGTTCCGTGTGAAGAAAGAAAACATTTGCTGCGTTCACGTCAGTCTCATTCCCCAGGTGAGTGGAGCGCACTTTGTCCGGTAGTTTGCTCTCACAGCTGTCAATGTGGGTGGTTGGCGGGTGCTCTAGTGTGGTTTGCTCCTTCTTTCCTATCAAACATCTGTCGTCTTTATCTCCCCTCCTTCTTTTTTGTGTTTGTTGCTCTCTTGTACCACCTCTAGTCTTGGGCACTAATATGACCTTATTGTGTTGCAAGTGCTGTAAAACTCTTCCTAAAGCTACAACTGTCAACTTACTTACTTTTTTATCCTCTGTTGACGTTAAGCATCGAGGGGAGATGCAGTTTTCTATGGTAGGCCAGCTCTACAACTCTGTCAGTTGGGATATTATGTTTTCTCAGGGTTTCAGCTGTCAACCAGTATGTCAAAACGTGCTGAAGTTTCCGTGTCAGTGAAATGTGAGAAATGTCTGAGAAGTTTGGCCGTCTTTTCCCATTTCATCGTACACACTTTCTGCGAGGCTGTTAACCCTTCCAGTGGTGGATTATTTCTGAACTCCCTCGGCGGCAAATTACTTTTGCTTTACTAACCTGACACGAGGTAATGTCAGAAAAAACAGGCATAAAACACATCCCACTAAAGCTAGAAACTTGTATCATACATCATCTCAACCACAAATGAATGAAGAGTTAATGTAATCGTTATGTGGTTTTTTAAACTGGGTAAAACAAGGTTTACTCATGTTTGAGTCGGTCGCAGATTAATCTGGCTCTGTGGGCTGTGTTTAATGCATTTTTTGTTTTTGCATCCCAACAGCCTAAAACGACAGGTGAACAGAAGTCGAAGCCGACACAGTCGAGTGTGCGAGAGCTCAGAGGTCTTGGTCTCTCCCCGGATGTTGTAAGTTTTGTTGTGTGGATATCTGTTTAAGAATTGTCAGTTTGTGAGAAAAAGATCCCCCCCAAATAGACCCACCTCTTCGTGGGTGGGGGGGGGGGGGGATTAGTACTCTTCGAATAGGAAAAGAAAAAGAGGAAGCTAACGAGTTAAGGGGTGATCCTGAAAAGAGACACATTACTTTACTATCTGTCTTACGCTTTCTATTTTTTGTTTGTTGTTGCTTTACTTTATTACATTTTATTATTATTATTATACTTATTATTATCACTTTTCTTTTCTCCTCTCTCCATGGACAACCTTTCTTTGACCTGGAGTTGGGACGTGTATTGGTGGGGTGGGAAGCAGAGGCTCATTGTCAGCACTGTACTGGATGTGACTGTACGTAGGGAATACCCAGCTACATACATGTAGTAAGCATGCATTTATCGGAGAGCCCTATGACTGCGGAGAAGGTGCAGAGACCATTTGCGTCTTGCTTGTTGATGACAACATTAACCCTCTGGGACCTGCCATGCCTTCCCCTACCCCCATCTCTGGGATGAGAGGACTTGGTTGGTCTGGGAGGGGGGGGGGGGAATCTGGCTTCCAATTGGTATTATTATCACTATTATTATTGTTTTATCATAATTTTTGTATTTCAGCAACACACAACAACTATGCTCTTAATAGCGTTTCTCTTCATCTCCTCAAACAACTTCTCAATATAATATAACAGACACCAACATACCCATTCATTTTTCTTACGATCTCTCTGTGATAGAGTTGGGTTTTTGTTTGTGGCATTGCACCTACAGCCACTGCTTTATCTCCTACCCCGGGATGGAAGGAAAATCACAGAACCACCAGTTTTAGATGCTATTCACAAATGGCAGTGAGAAAAAGACTGTTTGAGTTGTCTTCGGCTTTAAAAAAAAAATCAATGCTTTATGTCCCTAGAGGAGCATTGATAGTGAGTAATATCTGATGGTGCATAATTGTTTAGTCTCTCGCCACCTGATTGAAGATAAAGAGGCAGCGGCCAGTACTGCTGTGGAGAGGATGATGGTTTTGGGAATACAAAAAGGAAGCGGAGAATCTGGCTTCTTTGCAGGAAAGAACAGAAGAACGTTCAACCGGATATACACTGGCACAATCAGCAAAAAGACCCTCAGTGACATTTTGGAGAGAGCAACGGAGCATCAGTGGACATGTCTGGAATGCATGGATGTTGCTTCCTGAAACAATGAATTGTTTAGTAATATGTAATCCGTAGGCTTTGGATGGATTGTTTTGTTCAGTCGACTTTTTTGTTGTTACCCACAGATTGTTTGTCGTAGTGTGACTCCACTGGCGGAGAATGTGAAGGACAAGATATCGTTGTTTTGCCACGTTGACCCAGAACAAGTACGTATCAGATTTTCTTTCTCACTTAACTTTCGGTTCTTGTTGTAGTTGATCATGTGTATCATGGTGGTGAAATAAGACTCTTGTCAAAATGTTGAAATCAAAGAATATTTTTCTGCCTATTTGGTAATTTTTATCAATTTTTTTCTTCTTTTAGCTCAACACCCTTTGTCTGTCTAAAGACACATTTCTGTGGGGATTTGACTGAAAAACATTGATCAAAGGCACAAAAATGTAAATGCAGTTTTCAAGGACACTCAACCTTTGGAAGTCGCCAAACCTTGGTGGCCATAATCTAATGACCTGTTTGTGTTTAAGTGCTGTAAAACTCATTGACCACCTTTGACCTTGCCCAGGTGTACTGCGTCCATGACGTGACCTCCATCTACCGAGTGCCGCTGTTGCTCCAAGGTCAAGGTGCGGACGATTTCCTCATCAAAAGGCTGCAGTTGCAGACGTCTCAGGTGTCCAGATCGAAGCATCTGATCGCGCGCTGGAGGGAGCTGGCAGACAGGTGAGTCCTGGAGACCTGACATATACTCCGATAAAATCAGAGCTCTCCGATTTTAAAAAAAATTGTTTATTGATTATTTTTTTTGCTGTATGGAAGAACCACGATCTAAATTGCATAAAATCTGATTTTTATTTTTTGAAATCAGTTTCCGCCCATTGTATTTAACTTACAGCAAATGACGTGGAAATACACATTTATTTTCCTGTACTTATGTTTTGTGTGTAATTGCAATACACGTTTATTTGCCACAGTCGGTTTGTAAAGTAATCTGAATCTACTGCGGTTCTAGAGACTGATCCCCCCCCGCAAACTCCAGTTTCTTAAGAAGGATTCTGAGGGAAACTCCTATTTTTGGTCATGAAGGGGTTGGAAGTTTTGCATACTTCCAATCGAAATTTTTTTTACAAAGCCCAGTCTTGTGTTTTGTTTTATGAAAAATAAAAATTAATAAATGGTTGTCGTGTCCACCCTAGGCACGACCGTCTCCTGAAGGAAGTGTCAATTGTGCTGGTGGGGAAGTACACAGAGCTGTCGGACTCTTATGCCTCGGTCATCAAAGCTCTACAGCACGCCTCCCTGGCCGCCAATCACAGGCTGGACTTAAAGGTATGTTGTCTTCCTCCTACACGGGGAAAACCTTTCTGAGGATACGTTGTTGTCTTCCTACACGAGGAAAACGTCTCTTTCCTACACGTGGAAAACCTTTCTGAGGATACGTTGTCTTTCTACACAGGGAAAATCTCTCTGTCCTACACGAGGAGAACCTTTCTGATGATACATTGTTGTCTTCCTACACGAGGAAAACGTCTCTTTCCTACACGGGGAAAACCTCTTTGATGATACGTTGTTGTCTTTCTACACAGGGGGAAAACCTTTCTGAGGATTTCTCCTCTATGTACCATATTTTTTCATACTCAGAGGGAGAAAATCATCCTGAAGTCGCTGGGTTTTTGTTTTTTTTTGTTCTGATCTTTTCCATTTAGACCTGCATGTTTGCCGACAATCGTCTGAAATCCGACAATCGCGACCCCGACCCGCGAACCGGCCGATGCTATCGCTAGGCCCACCTGTATTAGTCAATGTTCGAAGTGCGAGGCCTGGCCGTGTGCCAGCAACCCCTTTTTCTCCCGTCGGCTTTGTCGGCACTTTCGTTTTCGTATCGACCGCCGACGCGCGCACCGCCGACTGCCGACGTCGGCGTTTCCTACATAATTGTCGGAACCTGAGTAGAAATACGAATACAAAAAAGTACGACGACTTAAATTATCCACTTTCAGTTTCTTGCTCGAGCGGCCATTTTGAATTTCGTTTGTTTACTGATTGTTCAGATCATGTGGATTCTTTCAAGTCCGACTCATTTGTTCTACTCTAGATCTAGATTGAGATTTAGATCTATATAGATCATTATGGACCTCAATGGAGGATTCATATTCCAATTCTATTGTGTCAAACCATATTATAAGTTGTGCTGTAATATTAATGTTGATAAAACGCATTTTATCAGGTGCGTGAATTATTTTCTAAGAATAAAGATATCTAGATCTAGATCTAGACCCCTAGACTCAACTGAGTCCCTCTCTTCGGAATCGGATGCGGATTTCTCGTTCGAGGTCTAGATTCTAGATCTATTCCTATTCACTTGTTCTACTAGATCTAGATCTATATATGGAGGATTCATAGATCTTTATTCAATTCTATTGAATTGTATTAAACTCTTTAATTATAGCAATGTAGGCCATATTATTTTTATTATTATAAATGCTCCTTGTTTGTTTTGGAGTGTGCTTATTTCTTTCTTTCTTTTTTTTTTTTTTTGACTTGTGCTGGCCTTTTTACATGAGGGCCGTTGCAGGTTCTTTTTTGGGTTAGGCCTAGGAGTAGGCCGATAGGGTTTGGGTTAGGGTTAGGTCTCTTCTTTATTGTGTTTGTTCGGGTGGTCGCTCGTTACTCGGAAATCCTTCTTTTTATGACACCCACAATTTAAAAGCTCTAAAGTTAAGGGGGGGTGGGGGGCGGGGTTGCGCAAAATTTTCAGAAAATCTGGTTGAGGCTCACATGCAGGTCTATCCATTTTGTTTTTGTCTGTTACATCGGTTATTTTCATTTGAACAGTTATCTTTAGCATGTGTTTTCTGTTTTACACATTACACCCGAACTCGCCCAGGAATTCCCTTACGCGCTCCACCCTGACTCGCCCGGAACCGCCCGCGCCGACCTAGCGTCTTGAGAAACAAAGTCTTGCCTTGACGAGACTCTGGGGTCGGGATTTTGATTTGCATAGTTATAGCAAAACGTTTCTTCTTTTGTTTGATACCGAAACGAAATTTTTCAGGCCAGTAGTTTTAGTATAAGAGCTGATCGAAGTGCTATCGCGTTACCGACACTTCGAAAGTGTCTCGACTTGTTGAAAAGCGACACAGTTGAGTTCGAAAACGGAAATAACGATAGATTTGAGCAAAAACAAGCATATTACAAATCAGATGGCTCAGATTTTGATGAAAACGTTGTAGCAAGAGTTTGGGGCGATTCAGATTGATCAGACAGAGAATATCTAGAATTTAGATCTAGGGCCCGACCGCGAGGCGGAGAGTGAGAGTGACGGGTCGGACACCCCGATTGAACTAAAGTTACAACATTTCCAACAGTTTGCGCATACATAAAGTTATATTTTTCTGAAACTACATTCAATTTTCTTTTTAACTTTCATTTTTTCAGGATTTTTGGAATTTGTTTAGTATTTTTTAAACGCTTGTATTCACGGGAGGTGGGTTCCTTCCCCTTGCTTAGGATCTAACAATGGACTTCCCGTCCAGGCCCTTAGGGTGTAATGTGTTAACCTCTCTTTAGTTGTGTCCATTCCTTGTCTTTTTATTTGGAAAGGCATCTTCATAAATTTTCAGTTATTTTCACAGAATAATGAGAACAAAGGTGGGGAGAGGGGGGGAGGGGGGTTGTTTTATTGATGTTTAGTCTGTACTAGAACTATATAAATAATCATTGGTGGTCAAGATCTGTACTTGAAATAAAACTGCCAGTGTTGTTTCCCCAGTGTATCGAGGCAGCAGATCTAGAGGAATCAACGCGGCAGGAAAACCCGCAGAAATATCACGAGGCTTGGAAGGAGCTGGTCGCTGCGAAGTAAGTTGTGTGTTGTTTCATCATGGCGGGCTTTCTCCCTCTGTGCTGTTGTTGAAATGAAGATGGTGCTTTTGACATTACATTTGTGGGTGGTTGGTGGGTGCTCTGGTGTGGTTTGCTTCTTCTTTCCAATCAAATATTTATCTTCTCTATCTCCCCTCCTTTTTTGTGTTTGTCACTCTCTTGTAACACCTCAAATATTCAGCACTTATATGACCTTATTGTGTTGCAAGTGCCGTATAACTCCTACTAAAACTAAAAAAGACATGCTTTGACTCAGAATGCCCCTCACTTTTATTTTTGTCTTTTCCTGTGATGTGAGTACATTAGACCAATGGAAATTTATCAAAATTAAAGTGTGTTTCAATTGTTTGGTACACTTTCAACTTTGTGTTGAATTATGAAGTCATGATGGCTTGTAAAAAGTTGCTATCTGTGGTTGTATTCTTTGTTGCAGGGTGCCACAGGTAGGTCCTGATACTTGTCTTTCCCTCAGTCGTTTTTATCTGTCTTTCTCTTTCTTGATTTTTGTCTGTCTTTCTTTCTGTTCTTTTTCTGTCTTTCCTTCTGTTGTTTTTTGTCTGTCTTTCCTTCTGTTGTTTTTTTTGTCTTTTTTGCCTTTTCTGAGTAGGAAAAGACCATTTAATTGTGTCAACATATGAGCAAACAGATTATCGTGGGTGGTTGGCGGGAGCTTTGGTGTTGTTTGCTCTTTCCTATCTGACATCTATAATCTTTATCTCTCCTTTTTTTGTGTTTGCTACTCTTGTTACCCATCAAATCTTCGGCATTTATATAACCTAATTGTGGGTGATTGGCGGGTGCTCTGGTGTGACCTGCTTCTTCTTTCCTATCAGACATCTATCGCCTTTATCTCCACTCCTTCTTTTTTATGTTTGTTACTCTCTTGTAACACCTCTAATCTTCTGGCGCTCATATGACCTTATGCAGTCGTGAGCGCCGTAAAACCTCTACTAAAACTGAAACTAATATAATCTAATTGTTTGCAAATACTGTAAAACGCTTACTTTGAAACAAAATAATACAAACAAATTGTCTTTCTCTCCCCTCCACAGCGGACTCATAGTTCCCGGCGGGTTTGGAGTCCGAGGCTCAGAAGGAAAAATCAGAGCCTGCCATTGGGCCCGCACAAAGAAGATTCCCTTTCTCGGTACGGGGTTCTGATATAACATAGAAACTTTATTCTCTCTCTGAGAGGGTGGTTGTTTGGCGGGCGCTCTCTGGTGTGGTTTGCTCCTTCTTTCCTATCAAACATCTTATTGTCCGTATCTATCCCTTTTTTTTTGTATGTTATTTCCTAGTTACGTCTCCAATTTTTGTCACCTGTATGATCTATTTATTTTTGTGTTGTAAGTGCTGTAAAATTTGTACAAAAAGTAAAGATACACCGTGACCACTCCCTCATGTGCGGTGTTTTGGTTTAGTAAGAGTTTAACGGCGCTCGCGACTGCATAAGGTCATATGGGCGCGCACTCCCTCACATTTGTTGTGTTTTCCTGCCCCCCAACAGGAGTGTGCCTGGGCCTGCAGTGTGCAGTCATTGAGTTTTCCAGAAATGTCCTCAAGTGGGAGGACGCCAACTCCACAGAGATGAACCCAGACACTTCGCACCCAGTGGTGAGCCCTGTTGTTTGAATGTGTCTGTATAATTGAAAGTGGGTGGTTGGGAGGTGGTCTGGTGTGGTTTGCTCCTTTCCTATCAAACATCTATCGTCCTGCCAGCAAGAAATGAGTTACCAATCTGCTGTGATGCTCCTTCAAAACAAGAGATTCTGGATGTCATTAAGAAGCTGAACAAAGGTAAAGCAGCCGGTCCCGACCAGATTCCACCTGAAGCCCTAAAAGCTGATGCCAATATGACGGCAGACATCCTCCTCCCACTGTTTACCAGGATCTGGAATGAGAGCTAGTTCTCAAAGGATTGGAAAGAAGGACACCTCGTGAAGAAAGGGGGATCTCAGCAACTGCAGCAACTACAGAGGGATCACTCTTCCCTCAATACCAGGTAAGGTCTTCAACAGAATCATTCTGGAGAGAATCAAGACAGCAACGGATCCAAGACTACGGGATGAACAGGCTGGTTTCCGAAAAAATCGCTCAACCACTGACCAAATTGCCACGCTGAGGCTTATTGTGGAACAGTCCCTGGAGTGGAACTCCCAGCTGATCGTCAACTTCCTTGACTATGAGAAGGTTTTTGACAGTATAGACCGAGCAGCACCACGGAAGACACTGAGACACCACGGAATCCCACAGAAGTTGGTGAACCTCATCTAGAGCATGTACGAAGAGACAAGTTGCAGGGTTGTACATGATGGCCAGCTCTCTGACAACTTTGACATCAAGACCGGTGTGAGACAGGGATGTTTATTATCACCATTCCTCTTCATATTGGCAGTCGACTGGCTGATGAAGGAAACCACCAGAGGACACATAAACGGTGTACAGTGGACCCCATGGACACAGTTGGACGATCTGGACTTTGCAGATGACTTGGCGCTTCTGGCACACACTTAGGAACAGATGCAAGCAAAGACAACAATTTTATACTGCCTATCAGAGTCTGTTGGATTGAGGATCCACCCCGGAAAGTCGAAAGTCCTAAGGATAGATGCACCGCGAAAGGAGGAGGTCACAGTACAAGGAAATGCACTAGAAGACGTCGAATCCTTCTGCTATCTTGGGAGTATTATTGACAGAGAGGGCGGTACAGGCGCTGAAATAAAGTCCCGCGTTGGAAAGGCACAGGCTGCATTTATTTCTTTGAGCAGGATTTGAAGGACCAGGGATATCTCATTACGAACAAAGTTTAGAATTTTCAACTCAAATGTGAAGTCAGTCTTGTATGGATGTGAGACGTGGAACACATCCCATACGTGCAGAAAGAGGATCCAGGTTTTCTTGAACAAGTGTCTAAGGAGGCTGCTGAGGATCAAATGGACAGACAGGATCACCAACGAGGAAGTATTAAGAAGAACCAGACAGAGCCCGGTCAGAGATGAGGTGGGCAGAAGTTGTTGGCGATAGATTGGACACACTCTCAGGAAGTCAAGCAGCTGCATAACAAGAAAAGTGTTAGATTGGAACCCACAGGGTTAAAGATCAAGGGGAAGACCTCGTGGAACCTGGAGGAGAGTCACAGAAATGGATGTACAGAAAAAGTGGGAAGACGTGGAGTGACATCAAGCGACTTGCCCAGGATAGGGAAAGGTGGAGAGTGTTTGTTCGTGGCCTATATCTTGACCCAGGGTGAGAAAGGCAATGATGATGATGATCTATCGTCCTTATCTCCCTTTCTTCTTTTTTATGTTTGTTACTCTCTTGTAACACCTCTAATCTTCTGGCACTTATATGACCTTATGCAGTTGCAAGCGCCATAAAACCTCTACTAAAACTAAACTAAACTAAAACCTCTACTAAAACTAAAACTAGAACTATAATTGAAAGAGCGAAAAATGAGAAAGCCAAAAGAGTACTTCTATTTATTTTTATATATTTAAGTGTGAAAGTGTGCCACTTTATTTATTCCCTTGTGGAAATTAGGGTTATAATTGCTGGTTCAATGCATGTGTGGAAAGTAATTCACTGTCTACAGCAGTGTTACATAATACACAGGAGAAGACCAGAAAAGACAGTATTATAATACTTGTTACCTCCTCCTTATGGGTGTGAACTGTGTCAGTGGTGGTATAACCTGCAAAGTTCACAGCAATTGTGAGAGCTTTCTTGAAACTTGCAAAGTTCTGGGCTTGAGATTTTTATTTTCCACATACTCAATTTTTCCAGGTGATTGAGATGCCAGAGCACAACACGGGTCAGATGGGAGGCACCATGAGGCTGGGCAAGAGAAAGACGCTGTTCAAGACGGAGAAAAGTATCATGCGTAAGTGAAAACGACAAATTTTTTTGTCTCCTTTAGCATCATCATCATTCTCTGGGGTTTTTTTTTCTGCTTTTTGCGGATGTGTGACAGTTGCTGTAATTTTTGTCACGCCCTTCTTATCTTTTAGGTGGATTTGTCCTGAACATAGATAAACAGGCACCCGTCTCAAACCTCAAACTATTTCATGGTTGATAAATAAAAGCTTGGTTGTAAAAAGTACTTCATAAAGTATCACAATTTAGTGTTTCATTTCGCTGACATTCACAAAAGTGGCCCTCTTAAAAGTTCATTTATTATTTGTATTTCCAATGGAAAAAAAACAATTTTACAGTAGTCAGGTTTTACATTTGATCTCTTTCTTCTTCTTGATGTAATGTAACAATAGTTCTTTTATATGTTGCTGACCGATATGACCGTCTGTCCTCAGGCAAACTGTACCGTAACCAAGACAGCGTGGAGGAGAGGCATCGTCACAGATACGAGGTAATCCTTGGAGCATTTGTACAGTGGCATGTGTTGATGGCGTGTTTCATTTTTGCTTTTTTTTTCAACATCAGACTTATTATTTGCTGTTGTTATTATAATAATTATTATTATTAGGCAGTTTAGTGAACTCGCTCGCGGCAGGGCGAATCGGCCGCGATACGCTCCATAGATTTTTGTGACCGGCCGTGAAGCCTCGCGTTATGGTGGGTCTAAACAACTCATTGTTTTGCTTTGTGAATCGCACTACTACATCCTATACATCTTTTTAAACGAAAAAAAAAGGTCTTCAAAATGGCGGTCTTCGCGTGAAAATCGATTCGGTAGAACTGGAAATATTTGCTTCTGAAAACAAGGCAATTTTTACTACGCGATAAAATGAGAACTACTGGCTGTATATTTATTAATCTTTCAGAAGTTATAGATTGTCCATTCTAGTTTCTTTTGACACCCGAGTTGTTTAGGTTGAACTTCGCACAATGCTATGGGGCTTCCCGTAAAATGCATTAAAAAAGTGGAACCGCGCAATCGGCTGGTCAGCGACCCGGCGCCCCCGCTCTCCCCTGCCCACTGTGATAACGTGTTGCGCTGGCATCGCATTATTCGCGCTTTACTTGTTTCTCCGGATAATAATAATACGTGCGACTATGAAATTATCAACGGACTGACAAATGAATTCACAGTTTTGTTTTTATTTTACCATGTGTGGCTCTTGAATAGTGCAGATGATAGCTAAATCTAGATACCCTGTTTAGAGTTCAGCAGTAGCAGGCCAGCAGCAGTCAGAAAGCCAGCATCTTCTAGATCTAACTATTTATGCCTTTGGGCTTTGGAATTGAAATTAAACTTGAATTGCACAGTTCTAATTGATTTTAGATTCAGCATCTAGCTATATTTTCCAGAGTTAATAATAAATGAGGTAGACTATAAAAATATAATTTGTCCAAAAAATTTTACTTGCAACTTGTGTGAAGATCATAAGCTGATTTTGTTATTTTCTGGTCATCTTTCCGCAGTTTATTAAATGTTCCAGTGGGTCTACAACATTTTTCTTGACGTCATAAGCTCTTTTATGCATTTGAAAGAATAACATATAGCTTCAAACAAATAATGTATGTTACAATACTTTGAAAAAGAAGGGTAGGGAGCTGACTTATGGCGGTCATTAAGAGTTTTTTTTTACGGAATCCGTTTTATGATTAGAAAAACACTAAAAACATGTTTTGAAATCTTAAGAATGACCATAAAAATTGGAAATTATTACTTAATTGGCTTAACTCTTTAATAATTATAAACAGTGAATAAAGACAAAGAGAATGATATATGATTTGTCTAAATATGATCATTAGCAGCAAGGATATAAGCCCATTTTGTCCATTTCGGGTTATCCTTTCGGGTGATTTTTTATCACCCTGAACCTCTAAGTACTGAAAAAATATTTCTATGACTCTGTAAAGAGGTGTTTTGTAGTTGTGTACATTCTGAGTAAAATTCCCAACAAATTGATGTACAACACTTTAAAAAATATGCATTTTGTGTTTTGAGCATAGCTGCCACTTTCCCTCTAAACTCCGCTTCATCTAGCTTTTCCCGCTACTTTCCTCCTTCCTCTGCTGGACCGCTCTCGGTCGCAAATTGCGATACTTTCTTTTTACACGCGGAAAACACCGAACCGGGAGAGAGACGAAGACGCAGCTTGCGCATGTCCACCCATAGCTTTCTACTTCTGTTCTTCTAGGCCTAGTGCTAGTTTCACATTGTTTATTGTTGTGGAGCAACACCGTGTCGATCGGGCATAGAGAAATTGATGCAGAATGCAAAAATAAAAGGAACTTGAAAAATTCATTATTCATTAGAAAGTTGAACAAGCCGCTTGCTGCTCTTTGCGTTTTGTGCAATAAAGAAATCGCGGCGCGTGCACTCCTGTACAGTTGCAGTCCCGTTTGTTTACATGACAGCTATTGTGGCTGTGGAAGTGAATCTAGGTCTAGATAATCTATTTCTAGATATAATCTAGATTTACACATATTTAGATACCGTATCTAGATTCTAGATCTAGATTAGATAGCCTAGGGTATAATTTTAATTCAGTTTAGATCTACACACTACAGGGGCACTACTAAGTTAAATGCAAACGGGACCACAATTGTACAGGAGTGCCGAAATCGCTCAGTACAGCGGCAAAGGTGTTGCCTCCTTGATCCAATACTGCTCTACAGTGATGTACAAGTTTAAAGTGAAAGAAATCTTTTTATGAGACACCAGCTGGCGACAAACATTGGATTTTTAGTCACCAAGTCCAAACTGTGTCAAATTGACTCAAATGCTTGTTAGTCAACTTACTGCCTTTGGGGTTTTTTTTTGGTGTTTTTTTTTTCAAATACATTTTAATTCAGTTGCCTATGGTTAACAAATATGACAGTTTCCCTTCCAAAACCATGGGCTAGATATTATTATATTGCCTCTGGATCTCACTGGCTTTACTCCGGCCTTCGGAGAGCGCGCGTCCGCCTTCGCGTGAATTTCCTCCTCTTATAAATTCCTGAGTGGCAGCTATGTTTGAGTAATGGTCAGTCGTGTTGTTAAGTTGCTTTTTTTGTGTCACAAAAACTGTGTTAAAAGTGGCCTGAAATTGGCTGGATTTTAGGCATGAAAAATCGCAGTAACTTTTAAACTGTTTTATGATCTTGAAGGCAAGAGCTTTCAAATGAAAGTATTTCAAAGCATATTTGACAAATTTGAAATTTTCACTAAACTGCCTATTATTATTATTATTATTTTGTTTTTTGTCCTATTATTATTACTATTACTATTGTTGTTGAAAAACATTTTTTTTCTAGTGTTCTTCCATTAGTGCTGTGAACTAACGTGAAATCAACCAGCTTGTGTCCCCTCAAATGCCCGTATGACCATATGAAGTTGCGAGCGCCGTAAAACTTTTACCAAACTGCTGAAACTTGTACTCCTCCTTCAGGTGAATCCTGAGATGGTGGCCGTGCTGGAGGAGAAAGGCATGAGGTTTGTGGGTCGCAGCGAAGACGGGGAGCGGATGGAGATCATGGAGATGGAAGGTAGGAAGCGTGCTACTTATGCCAGCGCCGTGAAACCTTGATAAAACTAACTAGAAGCCAGCCACTCTCGATGCTAGCGAGCGCTTAATCAGTCCTCTATCCTGGTACTTTAGAAACTTTCTTCTGAAGGGTAATTATTCGTTTGGATAAGGCCAGCTACTCAATCTTACGCGACCTCAGTGTTTTCTTGTCGTATCTCCATTTTTTTTTAAGCAATGAAAATGTGACATGTTCTTAAGCTCACTCTTGGTTATGAACTGTTTTCACTGTTAATAAAAATGGAGAAAGAACAAGAAGGCAGTGGGGTTGCGATTAGCTCTTAGTCAGTCCTCTGCCCTGGTACTTTGGAAACCTTATTCTGTTGGTGGTTGGTGGGTGCTCTGGTGTGGTTTGCTCCTTCTTTCCTATCAAACTTCTATGGTCCTTATCTCCCCTCCTTTTTTGTGTGTGTTACTCTCTTGTAACGCATAATGTATTCTTCGGCACTTACATGACATTATTGTGTTGCAAGTGCCGTTAAACTCTTACTTATACTCAAAAACTCAGTTGGTCCTCCGTCCTGATACTTTAGCAACCTCATTCTGAAGGATATTTTTGGAAGGGGGGCGGGGGAGGATATGTTGTTCCTTTTTATTTAAGTTTTGTGATAGGAGTGCACTTTTGCTACATAACATATTTGTTTTGTTTTTTCTTTTTTTCTTCTTTTTTTTGTGTGTGGGTGTTTGGTGGGTGCTTTGGTATGGTTTGCTCCTTTTTTACTATCTAATATCCATTGTCCTAATCTCTGCTCCTCTTTTTATGTATGTTACTCTCTTGTAACGCCTCTAATCTTCGGGACTTATACGACCGTATTGTGTTGCAAGTGTTGTAAAACTTGCTGAAACTAAAAATGACTTATTGTGTTGATGTTCTTCTCTTTACTGAAAAATAGACCCCCAACCCATTTGACTCTTTCCCGGTGCAAAGTAACTAGTGTTGTGTCAATGTACTCCCTCTTTCACGCGAACCCGAAACTCAGTATGTGTCACGACGTAGTGGAATCAGCCACTCGTCAATTTTTTGGCATATAGGTATATTGGTATCATCTTAAAGCCTGTTCATTTGTCTTGGTTTTGGTGAGAAAAATATCCATCAATGTTAGATGAAATATTTGCGATTGAAGGAGGTCAGGGTCGCCTGGTTTCAGAGGTGAAATAAGCTAAATAATTGCCACCGAAGTTTGTAATTTCCACAGCTTGAGAGTCCTTGAAACCGAAAATTTATATTTTTTGTGTCTTTAACCAATATTTTTCAGTAAAATACACACAGAAATGTGTTTTTAAAAGGATATAAAAGGTGTTGAGCCCCCCCCAAAAAATTCGAAAAAATTGCCCAATAGCCAGAAGAATGCCACAATTTCTTAACTTTATCAATGTTGTACCGTGTCTTTTGCCCCCCCCCCAGATCACCCATTCTACGTGGGCGTCCAGTTCCACCCCGAGTACATCTCTCGCCCGCTGCAGCCCTCCCCGCCCTACCTGGGCCTCCTCCTGGCCTCCTGCAAGAAACTCTCCTCCTTCGCCAGCCAAGGCTTCCGCCCCTCCCCGCGCATGTCCTTCTGCGAGGACTCCGATGGAGGGACTGACGGGGACTCTCTACTTGACGAAAAAGACGACGCCGCGCCTTGATTTAGTAGATGTACCACCCCCGTCCTTGAGTTGAATATAGCTTTAGGCCATTCCATGAACGATGAAACTGAAGTGACAAATGTAACAACGAGATAGAAAATGAGAAATATGAAATAAATAGATTTCCTTTTTCTTTTCATTGATTCTCGTGGGGAAATCTGGTTTACAATGGCGTAACATATATTATACATACGCAATTACGAAGCATGAATACATAAATACATAGAGATGTAAATACACACCCATGCTGAAACACTCAGATGCACTACAAACACTCCGAAGCTGGTCACCGTTGTGTGGCACCTCATTTTTTTTTAGCTACGGTGATGATGTCTTGCTCAAGGACACACACACACACACACACACACACACACACACACACACAACTGCTGACATTTGCTTGACACTATTTCTGAGACTGAACTGTGAACTCATTGACCACTCAGCCGTCGGATGACGACCTCATGAAAAAAATTCTGCACAATGACAGAGCCATTTCTTCATGTTATTTCCTTTTTTTTTTTTTCCCAAAGGCAAACTTTTTCTAACCTTAAAAAAACAAAACAAAAAAACAACCCAAAAACAAAAATGGCTCTATCACTGTTCATATATATTTTTTTTTTAGCAGGCTCATTATCCCTTCTTTCTGTGCATCACCTTGTGGTTTTGTTTTTCCTGGAATGGCCCCCTTTATGTGTTCCTGTAGTCTTCTTTTCAGAGTCTCATCTGTAAGCAGTATGCTTTTCCTAAATGTTGTTTGTATTGTTCCATATACAGTCTCTGGAGGTTTTTTTTCACGTTTTTCTTTTGAAAACAAGACCACATTTTTGTTTTTGTGTAAGGCATTTTTTTTGTCGAATACATAAAAAAATACAGAATATTCATCAATTTGACTTTGTTTTTTTCTTTCATTTAAGGTGTATCTGCATTATTTTTTCTCCATGTTTTATGAAGATTTGTGTAGTGAGTGGTTTCCGGGTGCTCCTGTGTGGTTTGCTTCTTTTTTCCTATCAAACATCTAGCATCTTATCTCTCCTTCTTATTTTCTTTATGTGTTGCTCTCTGGTAACTCCTCTAATTTTTGGCACTAATGTGACTAATATTACATAATTGTGTTGCGAGTTCATAAAACACATACTACAGCGAAAAGATTTGTGACCGTTGAAGCACAACCAGTGGCTCCTAGAGATGAATCATCGGGGAACAGGATCACCTGATAGGGCCCCACATTGCTGTGCTATGCTGGCATGCTGCTAGTACAGTGGAATCCTGTTATAACGAGAGGGAGGGGACCGGTGCGAAATGTCCGTTATAGCAGGATTCTCGTTACAAGGGTTCCAGTAATAAATTCAAGGGAAATAGTAATTTAGGCCTAATCTATGAGTTTGGCTTTCTGTTTATTCCTTTTTGTATTTCCCCTGATGATGATTTGTTCAACATGATCTGTAGGTCTTACTTGATAAAAAATCGAATTAGCAGTATTTTATTTACAAAGATAAAGAAGGAGAAAAAACGGGGTTTTAGAATAGTGTCTTTATAACAGACTTTTCGTTGTTTCAGGACTCGTTATAAGTGGACTCCACTGTACAGTGGAATCCTGATATAACGAGAGGGAGGGGACCGGAGCAAAATGTCCGTTATAGCAGGATTCTCGCTATAAGGGATCCAGTAATAAATTCAAGGGAAATTGTAAAGTAGGCCCAATCTATGACTTTGGTGTTCTATTTTTCCTTTTGCTATCTCCCCTGATGATGATTTTGTTTCAACATGACATCTAGGACCTAGGTCTTACTTGATCAAAAATCAAATCAGGTTTCTTTCTCTAGCGCTAGATTTAGCGATGTTGACTGACAGCTCGGCGTTGGCGATCAGAAAGAATAGGCTCTGGGCTAACTCACCCGCTGTGTTTTCCCCCACCCGACCACACCCTGTGGTGCATTCTGTCTGCTTGTGCACGTCACTCATTCGCTCCATCCATCACATTGCTGTGACCTCTCCATCCCCGCATCGGAGAAGTGAGAGGCATGGTAGGCCTTGATAATTTAAACTAGACTTACGCTGGCATATCACACGATGTGTTCTGCTTGTCTGCGCATGCCACACTCTCCCTACTGAGTCGCTCCGGCCTTCATTGTTGACACACGTGGGCTCTCCTATTCTTTGTTTTGCAAGATCACCTACAAGTTTCTCAACTGGCGAGGTTTTACGTTTTGTATAATTGGCCTATGTACTGTGCACAACAGCAGCAATATTCCGCTATAACCGACTCGCATGTTTGTCTGATAGCGCTATAGCAGTATTTCATTTACAAAGGTAAAGAAGAGAACAAAACGGGGTTTTAGAATAGTGTCTTTATAACAAACTTCTCGTTTTTTCCGGACTCGTTATAAGTGGACTCCACTGTACTTCTTAATATCATTCTACCAGTGTCTGTGGTGCAGTAGTAGTTGATTGACTCACTGTTGCATTCAGGGGATTGGAGTTCAATTCCCCGAGTGGGAAGAAATTTTTATGGAGTATCTCAGTCTTTCTGCTGGGATGAAAATCTCGCTCAGCCTGGATTGGTCCTTACAGCAGGATCAAAAGCCCGCCTCGTAAATGATCTAGATTGTGTTGTTGGGGGAGCAAAAATACCAACATTACAAAAAAAAATTTCTTTTTGATATTGTCCTGGTGCCAAATGTGACTTAACCCAAAGGAGTTATATATCCCCAAGGCACCCCTGCATGTCTTCCCTTGGTAAAATGGCGCCAATCTCATTCAAAGGTCCCGGGTTTTCTCTAAAATTGTCTCCTTCCACCTCCTTGCCTGTGTGGCGTCGGTGGCCTAGTGGTTAGGCTCTCGGACTCTCAACCGTAAGGTCTCGGGTTCGAATCCCGTCAGGGTCCCGAAGTTGTGTCCTTGGGGAAAGGCACTTTGCACAAATTTTCCTCACTACACCCAGGTGGAAATGGGTACCCGGCTATAGACAGTGAAAGATCTTGTCAGTTTGATAGTGTTTGAGCTTGTGAAATCCGCAGCTTGCACAGTATGCTTCCGCGGAAGCCGAGAATGTTTATGAGTGTTCTCAGAGGGTCTGCATAGTCTTAAAGCTCTTGAGCATGGATATGCGCTGTAAAAATGCAATTATTATTATTATTGAGCAATGTTCTGTCGTCTGCTATCGTCTCCACTTTCTGCCCTCACCCCCTCCTCCTTTGCCCCCCTCCTCTGGGCTCCTCTTTCTGCAGCCTTTCTACTGCTACTCCTTTGCTACTTCTTGGTGCTGTCTTTCAGCCACACCCCTGATCTTCTGGTAGGAAAGATCTACAACTAGCCTTCTCGGACAAGGGCGAAAAATCTTGGAGGTCCCGTTTGCAAGTTGCGCACGTTAAAGATCCCTTGGTGGTCCAAAATCGATAAGATCTGGCTTCGGCCACCACCCGTGCCAAATTTCCTACCAACTGAAAATGTTTAATGTCTCCTGTGCGCTCACATGACCTTATGCAGTTGCGAGCACCGTAAAACACTTACCAAAACAAAAACAAACTCACCGAATTTGAGCAAATGAAAATGGTTATATATTTATGATGTTAGTAAAGTAGAAAAAACCTAACTTAGGTCAACAGGTCAGCGCCACGGTAATAATTATATTATTGTCGTTGTCGCCTGTATTGTGCCTAAAGCTACGCACAAAAAGAACGCTTGCTCGCGATAAAGCGAACGCTTGTGAAGAAAGCGCCTGTCGTTGAGTTGTAGGCTACATAGAAAGATTGAAAATCGCGCTTGCGACTTGTCAGAACTTGGGCATTTGGCGCCTTGGAGGATTCGAGTGAAGACGAACTATTGTTGTAAGACTGTTTTGCATGAACTTATCCTAGGAAAACGCAAAAGAATGGGGGTTCATGAGATAAATTTAAGGAGGCGAGTGGAATGTGAACATCACCACTTGTTTCCTTTACTTAAAAGGGGCCCTTCACATTTTCAGTCCTACCCGAGAATGAGCGAAGAGACATTCAAGTAATCTTATTAAAAAATTGAACTAAAGATAACCAAAAATTGGTGCAACTGGCAGTTCTTCGCTAATATCTTTCCAAGCACGTTTCACAACGTTGCGATTAGCGCGGTCTTTCCTTCTTTTGTCCCAAAGTGCATGTATTTTTTAAACACGGCTGTTATCAAAGACTCGACACCCATTTCGGTCCGATGTCACTGAGACTGGGGCGGGGGGGGGGGGGGGGGGGGGGGGCACCAGGTACACGCTTGCAAGCGAGAAAGAATTAACTTTTGATTCTTTACGCTTTTCAAGCGTCGCTTGATATCTCAGGCGCGATAAAGCGAGCGTGCTTCTTGTGCGCAACAAGCAAATTTTGAACATTTCAAACGCGTCACAACGCGCTCGCTTTTATCGCGAGCAAGCGTTCTCTTTGTGCGTACCTTTTAAGCTTAAAGCCACGACTTTTCTCACAATGCAAGGGAAGCTACTCATGAAATTATCAAATGTAGCTAAGTATTTGACTGAACTATCTCCCGTTCCCCGTGTTGTTTTGCGACAGGCGTTTGTGATTTCTGACTTAGTCAAAAAGTACAGTATGAGCAGGGTACGGGAAGTATCTCGGTGAAATTTGACGATGTTGCTAAACCGAAAAAAAAGAAGATTAATTTGAATCTAAACCTCAAGACAAGTAATATATGTATCTGGCTAATAGACAAACCCGTGCAGTGGATGGTTGGCGGGTGCTCTGGTTTGGTTTGCTTCTTCTATCCTATCAAACATCTATCGTCCTTATCTCGCGTCCTTCATGTTTGTCACTCTCTTGTAACACCTCTAATCTTCTGGCGCTCATATTACATTAAGGAGTTGCGAGCGCCGGAAAATCTCTACTAAAACTAACAAAAGTCCAGGCACATTTAAACACCACCCACTTCCAGTTTCTCCTTTATAACACTACATGTACTCCATTTACATGTATTGACATTTTTAATCTTGACCCTTGCAGGTGCTCCGTTGGTCCAGTTGGTATCACGCTGGATTATTGAGCGGACGGATTGTTTTGAATCCCAGACTGGACGTTCTTGAACTCGGGTCTTTTTGTGAAGTTTTCAAGGCTCTCAGCCCATTTGGCTCTGACCTGTCGGAGACGGACATTAAAATAACCGATCACTCTTGAAATGGGCGTTAAACTTTTAAAAAAACTTTACATGGGGACTCCCGTGTTCTAAAGGTTACGGTGTTTGCCGCTCATTCAATAGATCCCGGGTTCGAGACCTAACAGCGACGAACAATTTTCTTCTCTAAAATTTTCTCCATTCACCTCCTGTCCTGCTCTCTAACCATGTTCTGTCGTCTGCTTTCGTCTCCACCTTCTGCCCTCCCCTCCCCCCTTTTTTTGCCCCCTCCTGACTCTTTCTGCAGCCTTCCTTCTACTGCTACTCCTTGGCTCGTTCTCACTGCTGTCTTTCAGCCACACCCCTGATCTTAGGGTAGGTAAGATCTAACACCTAGCCTTCTCAGATAAGGGCGAATGATCTCGGCGGTCCCTTTGTGGGTCGATCGATAAGAATATGCTTCAGCCGCCACTCGGGTAAAAGTCAAAATTATTAATTCCTACCAAAACTGAAAATGTTTAATGTGTCCCGCACGCTCACATGACCTTATGCAGTTGCGAACGCCGTTAAACACTTACCAAAGCAAGAAAAAAGGCGAAAAACAACAACCAAAGACAAAAAACAAAACAACAAA